CGCATTAACTTGATAAGTTGTGAAAACAGGCAGGCAGGAGGGACAGGGAAACCCTAGTTCTACTAGAGAAAAGGTTACATACAGTGTGAGTTTATCCCTATTAGATATTGAATAATTTATCTAAAGCCCAAATCTCAACACACAATTATGTCTTGATATTAGCTTTCTATAGTACCTATAAGCATGAAACTTGAACGATATGAAGTCATTCTGTGGTTAGTCCCACAGCCTATCTACTGTTATCTTTGTCCCTCTTTTCCTCATCTCTCTAGACTTCAAACTCATTAAGCTGAAAGACAATACAAAAACCTAACGTACTCCATATTTATGGGAGACCTAGCAATGTTTGTTTCCCCCTATTCCTACAGGAATCCTCTTCTAACTACAAAATAAAGCTACTTACTAATGTCTACACATATTTGCGTAGAAATATCTGCATGCACTGAAGCCAATATGGCTTGAGTTTTAGTACAGGACAGTAGGAAGCAACAGAAGAAATGTTAGCATACTGGCAATGTCACAGTACTGAAATAGAGCACATTTACACATCAGTGAAATGATGACCTACTGAACTAGACAGCAAGAGTACTTTTCCTTTTGAACTCATTTCTAGTTTTTATACAACATATTCTGGAATGCTGACTCCCTTAGAGAGTTAGTTTTCTAAGCAGGCTACTTTGCCTTTTATTTCTTCACATTGTTTATGGAACAAATTTCAGAGCAGGCCACATAACTACTCTTTCTTTCTCTTACACGTCTGGGCAGCTAACATGGAGTGGATCAGACACAACAGACTCACTACGTATTTTCAAATGCAACCGTTACAATGACATTTAACAGAACATTACACTGAGAATTTTAATTGCTCAGTTTGCCCAACTCACTAAGTAATTAAAAAACATATTAAGCGAATAGATCTCTCCAGTAATCCCCCTTGCCAGAATCTGAAGGAGAATATGAGAACAACTATATTCTGACCAGAGCTCCATGTAGCCTACTGCCCACTACTCAAGTGGCCAAAGATAAACGTATGGGATGAGGGTACAGAAGAGGGAAAGCACATGTGTTAACTTCTCTCTGTTCTCTCCTCCACCCTTTCAGTCTTCAAGAAATAGTTCAGACACTTCTTAAACCAAAGGTAGTCATATATACAGTAAAACTTAAAGAGGGGAAGGACCTCATGTGTATCTACCCTCCTCTCAAACTTCAGCTAAATTTTTGTCATTAAGCTCAGAAACTCCTTGCCATAGGATCTTGTGAACGTGTTGTGGCCTAAACCCCAGTAGGCAGCTAAGCATCACACAGCCACTTGCTCACTTCACCCTGCAGTGGACAAGGGAAGAGGAAAGGAAGAGTAAAACCAAAAAACTTCATGCGTCAAGATAAAAAAAATGTGTAATAAGCAAAAGACAAGTGGAAGAAGAGAAAGAAAACAAAACAACTGATGCAGGGGTAATCACTCACCACCTCCCATAGGTAGACTGATGCCCAGGCAGTTCCCAATCAAAAGATGGCTAACCTCCCTAAGGAGGTTTTTAACTCTCCCTTTTTACTTCTGAGCATGACATCATATGGCATGCAATACCTCTCTGGTTAGTTTGGGTCATCTGCCTGGTTGTGTTCCCTCCCAACCTCTTGCACGCCCTCCTGTCTATTCACTGGGTGGGGCGAAAAGTGCAAACACTCTTCAGCGACAGCTAAAACACTGGTGTTTATCTGCATTGGTTTGGTCACAAATCTAAAACACAGAACCATATGAGCTGGCATGAAGAAAATTAACTCCACACCAGCCAGACCTGCTACAGAATACTAGAAATTCCACCATGGAGGTGGCAGTAAGCAACTATCAATTCTTGTTTGTTTTGAATGTGACAGCTACACATTTCATGTAATACCCTCAAGTTCTCATACCACGGGTATGAAACTAGTACTAATGACACTAAGATGTCTAACTGTCCAAGGGCAGACAGAGGCCAATTATATGTTTGGTAGCACAATACGCTGCAGAGGTGGACTGTTCCACTGGAAACAGGAACTAGGCAGGATCTGGAAAAGTTAACATTTATTCCAGCTTTCGATCACTGCATAAATTCAAACTGTCCAAAAGTGAAAATGAAGGACATGAAGGCACTAAATCTTTTGTACCTACCTGGTCCACTCAACATAGCTTTTATTGTTCCTGATGTTAATGCATGCTCTCTTTTTACAATGAACTCATGGCCATCGGAGGATATTAACTTCACATACATAGCATCTGGGCCCTCACACCCACCGTATGTTTTCTCTTCTCCATCTATAATGGAAAACAGATTTACAGTTTCAGAACACAACGACTGATTCATAACACTATGAATGCAAGCTGCAGTCTTTTCTATGACTATGTTTGCAGACCAAAGAACCCAATACAACCAGAAATAAGACAGAAGCATTTTGCATATTTGAAGATGACTTCTCTGAAGCACTAAATCTGTTTTAAAGAATTTTTGCAAAAGTAAGAATTTTTTTATTAACATCTCTGCTCTGTCATCAAATTCTGACATGATTTCTAAAATCTGCATAGGGATGAAATTTTCCTTTAGACAGTCTCAAGTGAACTGAACATGCTACTGCTTCCCTCCATAAGGCTATTGCTATGTTTATCATACTAGTACTTACTAATATTTACATAAATAAATATCTAATATTTAAAATACAGACTGTTTTATGAAGCACATGCAAGAATAAAAGCAGTCAGTATTCCTGTACCGAAGAAACAGCATGAAATAAGATCCATCCTCCCCCACTGCCCAGCAAGACCCAGAACTATAAAGCATTAGTGCACACCTGTGTTGGAAGCTTTGGTGGAAAACAGGGGTAGTGCAAAAGCACTAACCCCAAGGGAATGTGCAAATTCTCCTCATAGCAATTTTGACTGTTCTTTTTCTGCTTCCCTTCTCCTTTCTGTCTCGTTATACACCCACTCTCTACTTTGTTTCTCTAAAAATCCTTATCCCCTTTCCCGTTTTGTTCATTCATTCTCTCCTAACAGTGCTATCTTTAACAGTTGAAAAAACAACATAACTGTTGTCACGACTGCAGACTTCACTCTGTGAAGTCTTAACCGTTTCTCCATCTTGCACCTGTCTTGCCTATTCAGGCAGCACACTCTCTGGGGTAGGAACCACTGACTACTTTGTGCCTGTACAGTGCACAGCACTACAGGGCACCACCACACGAAGGAGACTGTCCTTGTAGTTTGGTCTTTTTATGTTCCTGTAAACTCTAAAGTAATAAAGACTGCAGTAATATTAAAATATTTTTGAAAAAGTGAGTGTAAAAAAACCCCTCACCCCACTAAATATACAATTTCTGTCAAATTCAAACTGGAAAGTTAATGCCTTCTTTCAAATACTGTATTTTATAAGGGACAAATATAGGAAGTATTGCTAAAATTCCATTAAAAAAATACTTGAATTTGACTTTGCACATAAAATTTGATTTTTCAGAACAGTATTAATCTTGTTCAAAAGTTAAAAATTAAACTCCTGGACGTTTTTCCATCCTGGAAAAGTGTAACAGAAGAGACCTGTATACTTCTAGAAAAGTAATGTACTGCCAGTATTTCATGATTGTATGCAGAAGTACCAAAGATAAAACAGATATAGACTACAAACTTAACATGACTGTTAGTGTTGTTTTTACTTCTGACAAAACAAAGAATAGAAATCATATTATATTAATATTAGTATCAGTATTTTGCATTTTATCTAGCATTATAGGAAATAAAACATTCCCACAATCAGTTGCTTTGTGAATTTGAAGTTAAAATTAAATTACCATGTAGTTATTGCCAATTTTAATAAAGTACTGCTAGTACCAAACATGCTAAAATGCATTCAGAAGTATAGCTAAAACTGCCAAATCATGTTTGATTAATCAGTCATTTGTAACAGCAGATATGACAGTTTCAGACATTTAGTCAGATCTCACACACACAATGTAAATTATCAGAAATTAGTCCTTACTATGATCTCTTAAGACAGAATTCAACAAGCTGACCTTGGTTAGCAAACAAAAAAAATATTTAAAATAGGACATAGTGAAATTTTCTTGTCCACTATCTAAATGTTTAGTTCTACAAAAGCCTAAAGGCATCTTATTTTAGAATGCATATTTTCAGCACTATGCATATTAAGCAAGTGAAATATATTGTTAGATAGATGCACTCTGAACAAGTCTTTCAATAAATGAACAGTGATTTGAGAAAAATCCTCCTAAAAATGACCATAGGAAGTTCCATTAATTTTTGAGGCTACAAGAAAAACAGTGACAAGATCAACATTTAAAATCTCACAATCCACCTATTCTTTTGATGTAAGAAAAAAAAAAAGCTTCACATTATAGGAAAAAAACCCCAAAACCTCCAAGATGATAAACTTACCCATTCTCTTCTTATAAAAAAAAATTGTTTCTTTTCAACAGCAGATTTTGCAATAGGAGCGTCTGAAAAAACACAAGTGGCAATATTTTCAGTCAGTAGTACAATTTCTTAAGTCAGCTTTAGTTATCAGCCTTTATGTTACCATAAACACTTCAGAAAAGAATATGATGATACACAACATGCAATGTTGATGGGCATTACACTTGGAAAACATTACGTTTTGAAACTTATTTTTGCTGTCCAGAGACTCTTACCATATTCAAGAATCTCCAAATTTTAGCTTACTTTGTAAAGAAGTTGTTCCCATAAGCTTTTTAAAGACCCTTGACTATAAAGCCAGAGGTATTTCAAGAGCCTTATGACTTTTATCACTATAGACACCATCCATGCAATAATATTGGGGAAGTAAGGAAAGTTAAGTTTTGCCACACTGCAAAAGGCACTTAAGGGACTAAACGGCCTGTCTACAGAAAAAAAAAAAAAGTCAGGGAACAGTTCACCATGTTGTGAATAGAGGAGTGATTGTCCTGCCTTTCAGAGGGACCTTGACAAGCTGGAGAAAGGGGCCAACAGCAAACCAATGAAATTCATCAAAGGAAAATGCAAACCCTTGGACCTTGAGAACAATCATCCCAGGCAGCAGTACCAGCTAGAGGCCAACCAGCTGGAAAGCAACTTTGCAGAAAGAGACCTAGGGGTACTGGTGGACACCAAGTTGAACATAATCCAGCAAGGTGCCCTTACAGCAAAGGCAGCCAACAGCACCCTGGGCTGAATTAGAAGTGTTGCCAGCAGGTTGAGGCAGATGATCCTGCCCCTCCACTCAGCACTAGTAGGACACATCTGGAGTGCTGGGTCCCCAGCAGGAGTCTGAAGAGCCACAGAGATGACTGAGGGATTGAAGCACCTGTCATATGAGGAGAGGCTGAAACAAGTGAGATTGTTTAGGCTGGAAAAGAGAAGGCTCAGGGATCAGCTTAATCAGTGTGCACTAAATACCTGGTCTCCAATCTGTCCTTCCCAGAAGATTGACAGTTCCTGATACAGCCACCAATGTCACCTAGATAATCTACTTCAGACATTTCATGTAGGTATTCACATGGTAAGTTAACCAGGAGCTTCCCTAGCTTATCAATTGACATTCAGCCTACTGCATATGTATTTCGCCAGGAAAATGAATCCAAAGAGTTAGAGCAAAGGAAGCACTTATTTGCAAAACAAATCTGCTATGTTCAGATACAACATATATTTCTTTATGCTGAACTGCATCTATGCTGTGGATGAGAAATTCTACCCACCCACCTGCCGTCCTAAAATTCCTTTCACATCCATAGCTACTCTTCAAACATTAACCCATTAACCCAAATGAGCTACCATTGTGTGCCCATAGGTTCAGAAAAACAGCGCTGGTGATTCTGGGTGGTTTTCCAGTGTCCAGGACAGCAGACTGTTAAGTATTCTGACAATCCACGTTGCTTCAAAAAGCAGGGAGCAACAGCAGAGGCACGAACTATGATTATTCACTAGAGAAGATCCCAGAGCGAGAGGTGTGAAAAAACAGAATAGAAACCACTCCCCCCTCCCTCCTGTATTTCTGGTAAAAGCATAGCAAAAAATGTAAGCAAATTGAGGGAGCTGCAAGATTTGAACAAAGTTTTAGAGAGATCTCATTTTTTCAGAACTTGCAGCTCTTTCCTACTGCTGATGCTTCCCTTCTGAACAACACTTCTGTGCTAATTTGTTCCATCTCCCTTTTTTCATAACCACAAATATTAAATAGTCTGAATGTTTTCTCAAGCTTTCACAAGAAGGCACTTTGTTATGTACACCTAATCAAACTACACATGCATAACAAATAGTTTAGTTGTCTGTGGAGAACTGAGCAAAAAGCATCTTCCACTTACATAGCTGTCTTTGATAATTATCCTGATTTTACAGAAATATCTTACAAAATATATTCCTTCCCCACTGGTATAAGGAACATCTTCACCTGTACTCTTGCAGATGAAAAGTTCCCGAACATAAGGTGTGTTCAGGAATGCCCTTTGAGAGTTAATTTGTGTATGCTGTCATAGAGATATCATAATATCAAGTGTTAAATGCCTTCGCCATTTTCAATGATTCCAAGATCTCATCCAAGAAAATTAGATTTGGGTGCTGGAACAGTGGAGGCATAAAATTGATGGAATTTTTCACCCTATTCAATAGCTTTTGTAAGTGGAAATCAAGCCTCTTATTGCAGAGTATCTGTTGCCCAGAAACTGAAGGGATACATTATTACTTCTACTTCACAGAAGAGGGTAACTTGTGCTACCCCCTTCTCTAGCCACAAAACCCTTCCCCCTACATTCCAAAAAGAATAGTGAAGCTGCTTATGATTTATTATTATTATTATTATTTATTTATTTATTTATTAAAACCACAGAAGTAGTGATACCATTTTGTGGAGGTACTGGTGACGATAAAATGTGCCTTGGTTTCCAATACAAGTAATGCCACTAGATACAGGAATAGACAGGCTAGTTAGTGAGAATGCAAATATATTAACACCTTGCCAGGTAAAAGCGTAATTTGAGGAGACTGATACAGTAAAGCTGCAGGAAACAAAAAAATGTCTACACCAAAACATTAGAGCTCTCCCAAAAAACTGCAATGAGTATTTTAATCAAACGAGATGTGCTATCCTATGACTAGAGAGAAAAAAAAACCCAGTAGTTAACACTTAAAGAAGAAAAAAATCTGGCTCAGTGGTCGAATCCAATTGTATTAAAGAGGAAAACAGAATAAAACCGCAGTAAGCATTAGCAGATTTAAGACATGCTGGAGTAATCCAATACCTAAAAGACAAATCAATTATTTCCTTGAAAAAACAAAATTCAAACAAGATGCAATCTGAATTAAGTAAATTTTCTGAGATTAAATACATGTGATAAGAGGGTAATCTTAAAATGAGAAAGAAACTTTCTACAGGAATACAGTATGATGTTGCAAACATGGAAAAACTGCACTAGGAAAGAACTACTAGTTCCTCCAAAAATTATACCAAACTTTTTTTTTTTCTTTAAACCATGATGCCAGAAAAGAACAGGTAGATTTAGATGAGAGAGAAGTGGAAAGCACTGCAACAAGAGGGACACAAGTGACCGGTCTTGAAAAATGGCATACTAGAAGCCACATGAAACAAAGTGGAAGATTCCTGCACGTAGGGACTGATAGAAGCTTTTTTCACATAGTCAGGGCTTGTTATTTGGGAGCACAGTCATTCTGTAGTCAACTATAAACCAATGCACCTCTGTAGAGGCAAAAGAAAAGAAAAGAAAGAGGAGGTAAGGAAGAGGCAAATGCACATCAAAGATTTCTTTGCAATAGAAATAGGGAAATATGAACATTGTTGCACATGAGCAGCAACTTGTCTGGAATACCACACACAATTCTGAATTCCTGTTTTCAAGAAAAAGAAGTTCTAATTACAAGAACTACAGAAAAGAACTACTAATATGACCAAAGAGCCTGTCATACAAAAGAAAAATTAGTCCTGCTTACGCAGCTTAGCAAAATAAAAACAGAATGAAAATAAATACAACAACTCATTAAAAGGATAAACATCAGAAGGAGATATGTCAACATTATTCCTTAGTTTAAGTCCAACAAATGAACATAAACTAAAAAACCCCCAAAATTTATACTGCTATTCCAGAAACCAAGTTTGGTTGCAAATATAGAACAAAACTAACATTCTGTTGCCAAAAATAAAAGATGCAGCATGCCTACCTGCTTTTGAGAAAGACATTGTACATTCCGTTATGATGCATTCAACATGTAAGTATGTAAGGCATACACTTTGGTTTCACCCAGTTTCTACTCTGATATAACAATGTGTCATTTCCCTCCCCCAAAAAATCTGAAAAGATAATCATGAATACTATTAGGAGCAGCAACAAAGCTGTTGAAGGACCTGGAGAATAAATCCTATGAGGAGAGATTGAAGGAGCTGGGACTGTTCAGTTTGAGGAAGAGAAGGCTGAGGAGAGACCTCATCACTCTCTACAGTGACCTGAAAAGACATTGTAGAGAGATTGGTACGGGTCTCTTCTCACAGATTATTAGTGACAGAACAAGGGGGAACAGCTTTAAACTGCAACAGGGGAGGTTCAGACTGGACATTAGGGAAAAAAAATTCACAGAAAGAGTGGATAGACACTGGAATAGGCTGCCCAGGGATGTGGTGGAGTCACCATCCCTAGATGTGATTAAGGATCGTTTAGATGAGATGCTGGGGGATATGGTGTAGGGGAGAACTTTGCAGAGTAGGGCTGATGGTTGCACACGATGATCCCAAGAGTCTTTTCCAATCTGAACAACTCTATGATTCTGAATCTGAGTATAGATTTACTCCTTACAAAATATGGACAGCAGAGAACACAGAAAAATCAGAGTCAATGCAACAAAAGGGGAGGGAAAGAAAAAACATAAATCTGGGAAACCTGAAAAACCTAAAGAAGCAATAATAACCTGTTAGCATCTATTGGTTCCTCTTCTGGATCAAGAAGTGTTCAGTGCGTCATGACACTTGATAAAGATTAGATCATACTGCAGTTCAAGTTTATTATTCTGTGAAAAGCATCTTCTTTCCAACAACTATGCTCAAGTTACGCAAGACAGTTAACACGATCTTGCACAAGCCACAGCTAGTAGTCAACTATCTTATTGGTTCATAAGTTTAGAGCAAAATAAGTGGGAACAGCAATAGAAATACACTGAAAAAAAGGCACAGAAAGCACACTAGTTTTGATGTATTTATTTTTGATAGAAACCTTAATTTGTTATGTAACTTCCCCAAAAATGAGAAAAAAGAAAGGGACAAAGAAAAGAAATCAGACAGATGAAGGATGCAGAAATCCCTGCCACACAGAAGTTATTGCTTGTGTGTGTAGAAAAAGCAGTGTGGAGGAATTTTTTCTGCCCAGAAATATTTTTTTAAATTGAAAATTGCATGCCCTTCAATATTAAATAATAGGTTAGAAACAGGAAAGTGAACTGATATGTTCTCTTACCAGAAATTCTTTTCTTACAGTGTATTTTCCAGTATACTATTTACTGTAAAACATGTCACTATTTTCCTTCTGTATAATAAGAACAATATAAATGACAACATTTGCCAATACAACATGAAGGAAGAGACTCAGTGGGATTTCTGAAGATGCCTGGTAACTACCTATATTTTAATTACTTTTCCACATTTTATAGCTGCCCCTATCTGACTTCACCAAGACTACATCAGTGCAGCAGCAGGGAAGAGAACATCCAAGTTTTCTGAACACTCAAACATTTGCTTTTTTTATTATATATTTTCAGCCTGACTATTTCAGACTCCTGCAAAGAACCACTGATTTTTATTGAAGTACATTCATGATTCCATTTCCTCTTCAAGAAGCTTATGTGGCATTACCAATTAGGTAGCTCAGCTCCCTGCCTTTAATCTCAAAAAAGCACATACATTAGGCATGATTGCACTCCGACCTTGCCTCCTTAAAAAATAAATTAAAAAAAAAAAAAGAGCAAAACCTGCATTTGTTAAGAGAAAGATTACATAAAAATGATAGGCCACTTTTTAATCAATGAGGGAGAATACAATACAACTAAAACCAGCATATTTGGCACAGAAAATTTCCAACCAGTCTAAAAGGGAAGCTCTTGCTGCAGAAAACATAAAATGTTTGTTAGATATTAGAGAACTGAAAATTTTCACAAATTGCTGGAATATTTACACATACAAGGTAGAATATAGCAAAGTATTATAAATCATGGTAATTAACCCCCACAAAGCAAGTGTTCTTGTTAGCATACATAAACATCTTATTCTCCTCCTTACAACTCTAAGGAGAAATACTATGGTATAGTAAATTTATTTTGATCACTTTCCTACTTCTCTTGAGCATCAAATGCAAGAAAAAAAACCAAAGCATGTCCATGACCCTCTCATCTCACTCCCAAAGCTGTGTGCTCATCTCTCAAGCTTCCCAGAATTTACAGAATATAATTTCCTTGTAGATCTTGTATGTTGATGAGACTGGAATAGACTTGAAGGACATATTCTAATTTGACTGAACACATGCAACCACTGTACAGAATTCAGAACCCCATTGCTTTATTCTGGTTAGCACAAGAAAATTAAATCTCTGGAAACATTTCAGGCACTCAGATTCTTTGATCCCACAGAAAACTCTTCAAAAATTCAGATTATGGTCTAAAGAAACTCAAATGCCTTCCAACTAATTAGCTGCAAAACTCACACATGGCTTTTGTACGCTTCAGCTGGTGACATTTCTGTATTCTACTCTATCAATTTTTGGAAAACATGGGGCAAATAACACAAATGTCTTTACAATTCCTAGGTTAGTTTAGAAGCCAAATGTGACATTTTCTGATGTCATTTGTATATTAGTAAAAGTTCATCAGTAAACAAAGGCTGTTGTGTGTTAGAACAGTAGCCTCCTACTGTTCAATTCTAAATTCTAGTCTTATTCTTGATCCTATACACTAACATTTAAAAATACCGCTCTTCAGTATTCATTGTTCAGTATGCATCAAAAATAATTAATGTAAATAAGGATTGAAGCATATTTAGAAAACACAAAGGAAAACTAGTACAGCATGATTTCCCAATCAGCTGATTCACAGGCACTAAAATTCAAACATTCAGGGGCACACTGAAGTGTGACAGGAAGGTGTACTACAGGTGAATGCCAGTTAAGATAAACAGGAGATGAGGTAGATGTATGGAGTATCAAAGATGTCACAGAAGATGTTTTTTTCTATCTGAAGAAAAATCCCAATAAAGTTTTAAGGAGGGGGAAAAAAAAGGTCAGGGGTATATTACTGTATTTTTTCCTAACATACAATAAAAGCCCTGTACTGTACACCTCTTGCCATTAGGGGGAAAAAAAGCTGTTAGCTTATTGCAAATTTTAGTAGAGTATGGATTTCTGTCCTCTCATTATATGCATTCATCAAAAACTACTGTTATGCAAACTACCTCATAATGAAGATAATTAAATTCTGAACAATTCAAGGTGCAAGAGAACTTGTCAAACCACATCAAAATTCCTTTATTTTAATCTGACAAAACCCATACTTTTATGACAAAACTCAAGGGTTTCTTGTAATATTCACCGAGAATTGCAAAAACACAGTAAAACACCTGAGGCTAAGTATACTTTCAAAAGATATTAATTTATCCCCACACAAAGCATTAGGGACAGAAGCACGAACATAAACATATCAGAAAAAGAAATATGAGGTTGGGACATAGGAAGATGGTACCTCAGAGAATCAACTGGATCTCCTCACTGTACCTATAGCAAGTCTTCACATTAAGGCTACATGCAACTACCTAAATCTCTTCATCATCCATGCCAGTATAAAAAAAGGAATCTCAAATTACTTTTCTCTGACACAATAAAACGCTGATCTCAAAGTGTAAGGTATGCGCTATATTTTGGTCCTTAGTATAGGAAAAGGAGAAAATAGGAGCACATAAGGGTTTATTCACAAATAAGGGCACAAAGTGGTTCTTATCCTAAAGCGCTCTCAGCCTTCTACTTACCTACGTTTTTCTGGCTTACTTCCAAATTTAACTTTTGCAAGTGATCTTCAGCAAACCCAAGTAAACAAGGGCCTATGACTATCTAAGTCTCCCTACAGTGCAAGACGTAACTCACAATTTACAGTATTAAACGTCTTTAATAAAGTTTTGGCACATAGTATTACACGATGTAAGATTAAACTGGCCATCAAAGTTAACAGCAGCATCACTATCACCTATTCATTCATATATATATATATATATATATATATATATATATGAAGCCATCAATAACTTAGCAATGCTCAGGTTTCCTTACATAAAAGCAAATTCCCCCTGTAAGGAACACATGGTACTCAAAAGCTTATTTTTCTTACTACATGTAAGAGTATCACCCTTTTCCATCAACCTTGATTCGCTTATATTCGTCGACCATTACAGCTAAAGCACTTTAGCCAGCACTTCTCACCTTGGTATAACAACCCCTGGGAGTGCATCCTAAATGCTTTCGGCCTTAGTTTTTCCCCTCTCTCTAGGGCCTGGCGTAGGAAGAGGGTGGACAGCATTTGTGGCAGAAAAAGTTTAAGAGCGATATTTAATTAAACCACCGTACCGGAAAGCCCCTTTCCCGGCGGCGCCTGGATTTCAAGGAGAGCGCTTCACTCCCGCATTTAGAGGGCAGAAACGCACCCTTCGCCACCGTCCCGGCGGGGGAACCCCGATCTGGCACCACATCCCTCCATACACCCCCCACCCGCTCCCCGCGCTCCCCGGACCGCTCCAAGCCTCTCCGCTTCGCGGCCCGGTCCCCGTCCAGCGGCCCAGCTCCCGTCCAGCGGCCCCCGCCTCGCCTCTAGGAGCAGGGCGAGGGCGGCGCGAAGGGCGAGGCCCGTTCCCCTCCGAGGGACAGGCCCCAGGAGGTGC